AATCCCTAGTGCCAACATTATAAAATACGTATAATAATAATAATAATAATAATAATAATAATAATAAGACGTCTTATATAGCGTTGTACCCCAGCCTAGGGCTGGGCTCACCGCGCTGTACATAAACATTTTATCAAAAGAGACATAATCATGACATTAAAATAAAATACATTTATGAAATAAAGAACATATATGTATATTCACCCACCCCACCACATAACTTTTACAAGGCAAACCATGGACGGCAGCCATCAAGATCGTTTATACAACTTTACGGCAATCCCTATTTTTAAAACTATTTAAAAGTCCCCGCTCTACAGCTAGACACAAATATCACTTGTCCAACTGTACACCAATCCCTATTTTACAAACATTAAAAATAAATCCGTATTTAAAATTATACAATAAAATCCATATTGTGCAAATATACACAAATCTCTATTTCTAACTAATACCAAAATACTTTTGTACAAGTATATAAAAAATCCTTCTTTCGAAACTAAACAAAAAGAGTTTTAAAGTAATTTACCTCTGCTGGGCGTTGTAGATGTAGTATCAGTTTTTAGGTTAAAATATACTTGATGGTGTTACTCCAGAAATAGCAATTAGAGATATGAGAATAATTATAATTTTTTTTTTGAAAAATGAAGAGGTATATTTTGTTTCTTCACACACCAAGTCTTGTAGAATGTTTACATTTTGTAATGGTAACCCCTACTTTAAAGAAAGTTCGGATAAACGCTATGCAAATGTGTGTGTATTGACATCTCATTTCAATACAATTTTTAAAAAGAATTACTGGGACAATTCGTATTTATTTGTTTTGATATTCAAAAAGAAGCAAACCAAGATGATTAATTTCTTTGGGGATTTAAATATATTTTCCCAGGACCTCTTAATATCTCAAAGAACTTATTTATAAACATGTATCCTTAAAAAGCGCGCTTCCTTCAACACAGTAGTAAGTGAGTGTTCCCAGGGTAGATGGACACAGACAAAAGTCTTACGGAGTACGCTCTTTTGAAGCGATAGCGCAAAATTATGAAACAGTTTAATCTAATCTTTGAGGTGACTTGAAACTGATAAAAATTCATTTAAGAAACAGTTACATGTGACAAGTGTTATATATAACAAATTTGAAGTGAGACAAATGTGAAAAGTGAAAAGTGTGATATCTGACAAGTGAGAAATGTGACAATTGTTATATGTGACATTTTGATATGCGACAAATGAGATATGTGACAAGTTTGATAAGTGACAAGTTTGATACCTGAAAAGTGTGATATAAGACAAGTGTGATATCTGACAAGTGAAAAATTTAATATGTGTCAAGTGTGATGTGTGACAAACGTGATATGTGACAAGTGTGATACTTGACAAGTTTGTTACGTGACAAGTTTGATGGGTGACAAGTATGATGTGTGACAGGTGTGATGTTTGACAAAAGTTATATGTGACAAGTGTGATTTATAACAATTTTGATATGTGACAAATGTGATAAGTGACAAGTGTGATATCTGACCAGTGAGAAATTTGGCAACTGTTATATGTGACATTTTGATATGTGACATTTTGATATGTGACAAATGTGATATGTGACAAGTGTGATACGTGACAAGTTTGATACGTGACAAGTGTGATATCTCACAAGTGAAAAATTTGATATGTGGCAAGTGTGATGTGTGACAAACGTGATATGTGACAAGTGTGCTACGTGACAAGTTTGTTACGTGACAAGTGTGATACGCGACAAGTATGATGTGTGACAGGTGTGATGTTTGACAAGTGCTATATGTGACAAGTGTGATGTATAACAATTTTGATATGTGACAAATGTGATAAGTGACAAGTGTGATATCTGACAAGTGAGAAATTTGACAATTGTTATATGTGAAATTTTGATATGTGATTAATATGGTTTGTGACAAGTGTGATATGTGACAAATGTGATATGTGACAAGTTTGATACGTGACAAGTTTGATACGTGGCAAGTGTGGAATAGGACAAGTGTGATATCTGTCAAGTGAGAAATTTGATATGTGAAACGTGTGAAATGTGACTAATGTGATTTGTGACAAGTGTGATACGTGACAAGTTTGTTACGTGACAAGTTTGAAACGTGACAAAGTATGATGTGTGACATGTGTGATGTTTGACAAGTGTGATATGTGACAGGTGTGATGTATTATAAGTGTGATATGTGACAAGTGTGATATGTGACATGTGTGATGTTTAAATGATGTTGTGAAAAGTGTGCTAAGTGAAAGGTGTGATGTTTAATAAGTGTTATATGTGACAAGTGTTATATGTGACACGTTTAATTTGTGACAAGTGTTGTGATAAGTGTGCTATGTGATAGGTGTAATGTCTTACAAGTGTGATATGTGACAAGTGTGAAAAGTGATAAGTTTGATACATTACAATTGTGATATAAGAAAAGTGTGATATCTGACAAGTGAGGAATTGTAATTTGTGAAACGTGTGATATGTGACATGTGTGATATGTGACATGTGTGATGTGTCACAAGTTTGATACGTGATAAGTTTGATAATTGACAAGTTTGATACGTGACATGTTTATGTGTGACAAGTGTTGTGACAAGTGTGCGATGTGACAGTTGTGATGTCTTACAAGTGTGATATGTGGCAAGTGTGATATGTGACACGTGTGATATGTGACAGGTGTTATGTTTGACAGGTGTTGTGACAAGTGTGCTATGTGACAGGTGTGTTATGTGACAAGTGTGATATGTGACAAGTGTGATATGTGACAAGTGTGATAAGTGACAAGTGTTGTAACAAGTGACAGGTGTGATGTTTGAATAGTGTTGTAACAAGTGTGCTATGTGACAGGTGTGATGTCTTACAACTGAGATTTGTGACAAGTATGATATGTGACAAGTTTGATACGTGACAAGTGTGATATAAAGCAAATGTGATGTCTGGCAAGATAGAAATTTCATATGTTAAACGTGTGATATGTGACTAATGTGATTTGTGACAAGTGTGATATGTGACAAGTTTGATAAGTGAAAAGTATGATGTGTGACAAGTGTGATGTTTGACAAGTGTTACATGTGACAAGTGTGATATCTGACAGGTGTGATATGTGACAGGTGTGATGTTTGACAAGTGTGATAAGTGACAAGTGTAATATTTGACAAGTGTGATGTTGTGACAAGTGTGATATGCGACAGGTATGATGTTTGACAAAAGTTGTTACAAGTGTGATATGTGACAGGTGTGATGTTTGACAAAAGTTGTTACAAGTGTGATATGTGACAGGTGTTGTTTTTGACAAGTGTGATATAAGAAAATTGTGATACGTGACAAGTGTGATATGTGACAAATGTTATATGTGACAAATGTTATATGTGACAAAGGTGATATGTGACAAGAGTGATAAGAAATACCTTAAGAATTTGTAAGCGTGTAATGTTGTTGTTTTTTTTGGTGAAGATAACTTAGTTTGAAATTCCAGTTATCTGAATATTTGCAATCGTTTCCCTTGCTATGTCAAAAGGCATTGAAAATAAACCAACAAATGCCGAGCCAGCCTATAGAACTTTGAGAAAAATAGTTAATAAATTAAATTAATGTAGCAATAATATTTTTTTTATTATAAAAGAGTTTAAATTGAAACCACATGCAACTGTTACAGACGTAGAGCTAATAATAACTATCACGGGATAACATTTAAACATATCTGCAACTAATGTGTTTCGTCTTGTACGGTAATCTAGAAATTATAAATCAATCATTTTATTTATTTTAATTGGCTTTATTAAAACAAAATGTATTAGATATAAAGGTGCAACACAGATATGTTAAAATCATTTAAAACCCACATATGTATCGGAATCAACGGGGTAGGTGTTAAGGGAAAAACTATTTTTAAAATGGGCAGTAACTCAGGTGAGTCTTTGATACCGCCAGCGAACATATTCTATTTATTAGCTCCCCTTATGAACTCTTCATCTTTGGGTGTCGCACAGATTTAATAAATACAAGTTTATCTTTTGAAGTTTTTATTAATAATAATCGCTGAAGAAAATTAAAATGTACCTCTGTCAGTGCAGTTTTTTGCCTACTATAACTAGATTTGGGGGGGGGGGGAAGGTTGTTAGGGGATTTGAACATTTAATGTTGGGGGGGGGTGTAAGAAAGTCGCATTTGGTCCATCTGTGAGCATACCTAAAAGAAACTAAATAAGTTGAAATGGTTTTTGGTGTTGTACAGATTTAAAAAATAAAAGTTTAATTTTTGAAGTTTTTATTAAAAATAATCGTTGAAGAAAATTAAAATGTTCCTCGGTCGGTGCGGTTTTTTGCCTACTATAACTAGATTTGGGGGGGGGGGGAAGGTTCGTAAGGGATTTGAACATTTAATGTTGTGGTGTGGTGTAAGAAAGTCGCACTTGGTCCATCTGTGAGCATACCTAAAAGAAACTAAATAAGTTGACATGGTCAACACTTTTGGTCAGATGTCCTTATGTCGTCAGTGTTGGCTACATATCAGATATATTGATGCTGCGAGTTGGGGGCTGGCCATTGTTTAAATAAGTCCAGGTGTGGCAAAGGCCATAAGTGGGTCAGCTAACAATGACATTGATGTATTGACAAGAGAGTTTCATGACTTTGAAAGGTAATCTTAGGAAACATTTTCTTAAATATAAATTTAATTTTGAAAAATTAATTAAGTAGATTAAACAGTTGTAAGAATTGGTCATTAAGCTTTTAAATTTTTTTTTTTTAAAAATTCAATTATCTCTTTGTTCAGGTAAATTTTAGTTTAAATTCTAAATATTTAAAATAAATCTTCTAAATTTCATCGCTGTTTTAATTTCACATTCGTTGATTTGTTAGTGATCACTGAAAGAAGTATCGGTATCGCGAATAAACAAATTCATATGTTTGTATCGCGACCCGTTGAGTAATGACTGATGGGGAATTCGACTAGCTGTGATATTTCATTTTTCGTTTTACCTTAAATATTACACCTAAATTATCATTTTAAGACGCTTTAATAAAAATAAAATGTTTTGAAATGTTTTAATTTGATTTCCTTTTTAAAAACATTTATGTTTAAAAAAAAAATAATAATCATAGCTATTTTTAGACGGCCGATTCTGAGTTCCCGAAAATACCCAAAGTCGCCACGTAATAGTTGTGTTGTAGGAAGAAATTTGGGGCGTATATATATATCAGCATGAAGTTCAGTTGTGGAGAAATAGTTTAAGAGAACGTATTTTTATGTGGTGCTTTAGTTGTTTTTAAAAATATTGAGAATCTTATTTTAAGTGTGGTGCTGCCTTACTTTGTTGACAGTACATTGACAGTGGTACAAGGTAAGATATTCACGTAACATGTTCATTCGTGTCTTTAGGGTTAGTGTTGTGGTTATGATAGGCCAGGTATTTCATGAAATCTGTCTTGTTAGCCTCCCAATGACAGAATATGTCCAGACAATATTGATGAAAACGATACTTTTAGTAAAAGAAAATGTGAAAAGTATGCTGATGATGTTAGTAGATTGTTAAAAAAATCAGCATACTTTTCACATTTTCTTTTACTAAAAGTATCGTTTTCATCAATATTGTCTGGACATATTCTGTCATTGGGAGGCTAACAAGACAGATTTCATTTGTTCTACCTGGACACCAGACAATTTCTTGTCATCCTATTTTCACTAAACGTATCTCGGTCATACAACGCCCATGAACTCTTCCATTGACCCTTGAACTATCAACCCGGTTAGCTTCATCCTAGTTTCTTTGACTTTCCTTGGTCATCTAGAGCACACAATAACGCATGTAGAACATCGGAAATGGTCCAAATGTTTCTAAAATCATTAACTTCTTCTAGAATCTTCCAAATTTCCCTCATAGCTTCTAGAGCTTTCGCTAAATGTCTCACTAATCCTTTACGATGTCTGAAACCTTCCAATTTTGTCTATAACTTTCCAAATCTTTTTAAAGCCTTCCAATTGAGTCAGTCTCAACGTTTCCAAACGACACCAAAATTGCCCCAAACTATTAAAATGTCTCTGCTACCTTCTTCATTTACAAATTTACAACACCTTCGTGCCTTGCTTCCATCTTGCACCCTCTGTCTCACCCCCTAAACTTAAAGACTTAAACTCTCGTGACCATATCACATTAACCTCTCACCATTCACCTTCTAAACTCGCCAAGTACTACAATCAATTTCACTGATCATCATTTAGGTACGATAAACAATTGAACGGTTATTGATAAGTATTTCTCATTTAACATGATTTATTCCGATTTCTCTATTTTATAGCCTCATCTCATTGACAGTTGATTGCCTCATCTCATTTTCAGTTGATTGGCTAATCTCATTGACAGTTGATTGCCTCATCTCATTGACAGTTGATTGCCTCATCTCATTTTCAGTTGATTTCCTCATCGAAGCATAACCCTCAGCTTTCAACACCGCCGCGCTTACACAAAGCTCATCACAAAGACAGTCTGCTAACACAGTTCAAGTCAGAGACAATCTGCAAAGCTGAAACAACAGACGCAGTCTACAACAATAGAGATGGGTTCAGTCGACCTTAAGAAAATGTGTCTCGCTTGGTTCAAGAGGCAACCAGAATCTAACAGTAAACATTATTCTTCATTTCTATAATATTATGTTTTTGTTTGAATCAGTCGTGTGTTATCAAAAATGTTACGTAGAACGTGACCTAGGACTGAAAGGCAAAAACGTACTCATTTTTTTTTTAAATTTAGAAAATTGTTATAAATATATACACATATAAAAGTATAATCTATTTATAGCGTTTATCAATCTGTTCCTTCATAATTTTTCGTTGGCGCATTCGATTGCATCCATGTGTATTGTAAAAAAGTAAAGAACACATCACTTCAAGACAAGAAGCACGCAGTGTGTTTTTTTTTGCATTCTATAAAAATACATGAAATCAGAGGCGCTGCTAAAGGGTGGGGGGAGAAGGGATAGGGGGGACCGCTATCCCTGGTCGCCACACAATTTAGGGGCGCCAAAATGTGTTTTGATATTATTATTTGAAGAAAATAATGGGTTTGAGAGTAGAAAAAAACAAGAAAAANAAAAAAAAAAAAAAAAAAAAAAAAAAAAAAAGAATTAAACATACAAAAGATTAAAACACAGTTCATATTTAGTAGGGGGTGTAATCATTCTCAGAGTAGTAACATCTTTGATTGAGATTTTTCTCCTTCTGTAGTCTGCATTCTTCAGCATTCTTCAATGGTTCACTAAAGTAATTTTAGAACGAAATCATGACCGTGGGGGGAAGGGGTTGTTGGTAGTGGGGCGGCAAGCCTCCACCCGGCAGTTTCGCCACTTATAAACACTGCCTGATCGAAAAAAAGGACCAATACACTTTTTATCAACGGGCTGGTGGTGGGGTGAGTTTCAGGCCGAATGCTGTCAAATCTTGCCCCTGATGTCAGTTGAATGGGTTGAGATATCTTGAGGTGATGATAGTGGTGTCTCGAGTTGAGAGTCGTGGCGAATGTTAGTTTAAAACAAAGTAGAATTGGTAAACAAATATATACATCTCTTCTTCTATATCTTAAGGGCCCACGATCAATTTATTGATAATTTTGGCTCCTATGCATGTAGATGGGATTTGCAATGTTTCTGTTCCTGGTGTTTATGAGTAATATATATATATATATTGCTGTTGGAATAACCTTCATTAACATTTTTTTTTCCCGAGTGTATATTTTCTTTACCGTTAAAAATAATAAAATGTTGATGTTTTAAATATTATTACTTTTTTCTTTTATCAGGCAATGCAACAGTAAATTTAAACAATATTGTCACTAAGATAGAAGGAGACGTTAGGTGGACCGCAACCGTACCGGTAACTCAAGCACAGAGAGGACCAGTGAGAAAGGTCAGTTCTTATATGAGCTTCCCCCCCCCCCCAACCGACTTTTCTGTACAGGTCTATTCCATCACTCTAGGTTATTAGTGTTGTTAAACAAGAGGGATAACTTCTTTTTAAAAATCAGTTTGGAATTGTGCAGAGGATGTTCACACACGAATGATGACAACTTCTGAAAGTAGATTCACCCCCCGAACTGACTGCTTTTTGTAAAGTAGTTTCACCACCAAATGGTGGGATATTCTAAAATGAAGATTCACGACATAATGGTGATAGATTTCCCAGAAATCTTCTCAACATTATGTTGGACTAACTCGGAGTCAAAGGGAGGCAATACTAAAAAGGAGTCTCAGCAAAGTTTCGGTATTACCTCACCACCATCATTGGTTAACTTTAAGATGAGTTTGTTATTAGGTAAAACTTTTTAGTAGGTCAAATTTTGTTAGTAGGTCAAAATTTGTTATTCAAATTTTATTAGAAATTGAAAGATTTTTAGTAGCTAAATGTGTATTAGTAGTTTAAAGTTGCTAGAAAGTCAAAGTGTGTTAGTAGGTCAAAGTGTGTAAGTAGGTCATCCATGCTATTAATAGCCACATTTTACATCGTATATAGAGCAATTTTATATAATCAGATATTCTCAACTGAATTGAGTGTTCTCATATTATGGACAAAGAACACCTGAAATTCTATTTTTTTTAAATCTAATTTTTTGCTTTTTATTCCGTCTGGGCCCTACGCCGTCCACAAGAATTGCCCATTCATCACGGTCCCGTGCTTTCCTTTCCAGTTGCTTCTAGGTGTATCCCATACGTCTCGTGTGTTCAGTTAGCTCGCGTCTCCATGTATTCTCTGGCCTTCTTCTCTTTTTCCTTGTGGATTTCATGTTAGGCATTGTCTGGTGATGCAATCTGGGGGTTTTCGGAGAGAGTGCCCTAACCACATCCACCTTTTCTTCATGATGTTTCATCAAGGGGCACCGGGTATGTCTTTTATAGTAGATCCTTTTCTAGTATGTCTTTTATAGTAGATTTTTGTTGGTAATGTTATTTGGCCATTTGATGTTCAGGATCTTTCTAAGGCATGAGTTTATGAAGGTCGGCACTTTATGCGTTAAGTTCGATATTGTTTTCTAAGTTTCTGCTTCATACTGTAGGAGTGTTTTGGCATTTGTATTAAAGATTCTCGCTTTGATTTCCAGCTGAAGCTCCTTTGCCTCTCATTTTTGTTTTAATAACACAAATGCTGATCTAGCTTTCCCAATTCTAGCCCTTACATCAGCCTCGAATCCACCATTTGTGTCGATGGTGCTGCTTAAGTATGTGAAGGACTCCACTTCTTCCAGCGCCTTTCCTGCCAGCGAGATATGCTCTTGGTTGGCTGAGGTTGCCTCCATGATCTTTGTCTTGCTTTTGTTTAGATTAAATCCGAGCAGTGCTGAAATGGTGGCTATGTCTTTTCTCTTATCCTGCATTTGTAGCTGGTTGTGGGACAGGAGTGCAATGTCGTCTTCAAAGTCTAGGTCAATCAGTTGTTCCCAGAGTGTCCACTGTATCCCGTTCGTCTTTTCGTCTGTGGATTTTTTTCAATTTCCAATCAATGGCGAAGATGAATAGGAATGGGGACAAGAGGCATCCTTGTCTGACTCCAGTTGCCACTTTAAAGTTATATGAGATTCTACCTTCGTGTACTACCCTGGACGTCATTTCTTCATAAGAGCTCTGAATGATCCTTACTAGTTTTCCTGGTACTCCATAGTGCCAAAGAAGTTTCAAAAATGTTTTTTTTTTCGTTCAGGCCATCAAAGACCTTTCCCTAGTCTATAAAATTGTATATAATTGGGGGAGTTCCATTCGATGGACTGTTCTACAATGATTCTTAGGGTTGCAATTTGATCTGTGCGTGAACTTTTTCGTCGGAAGCCAACTTGTTGATCTTGCAGCTGCATGTCGAACTGGTCTCTCAGACCGGTACAGACAGCAGTGTAATTTGTCTGTAAATAGCACACACAAAAAATTAAAATCAACTAAAATCTAGTTTTTTACTGCAATGAAACTTGTTGGCATTTTATCATTATTTTACTACTACATATTGTTAAATATATCAATGAATTAAACCCTTAAATGTATTATTTCCAAACAAATAAAATCATAATTGTGCACTTCTTAAAGCATTAAACGAAAATTTGATGATCAGCTTATCTCTCTGTCATAGGCGACAGTTAAGTTCAACAGACGTATGGAGGACATCCTCGCTGAGCTGGAGATATCTAAAGAGTCAGAAACAGTAGCTGATGTAACGCTGACAGATGGAGTGGTGAAAGGTTAGATGAATGTTTTCTTTGTTCTCTTACAAGGAGACCTTTCAACCGAGACTAGCCTAACGTTTCTCTTTTTTATAGTTACGAGAGTGGCTAACCCCTATAACGAACGAACACTGCAATATATCCTATGTTGTTAAGTTAAAAATACAATTTTATCTATACGCCAGTAATGAAGGAACACTGCAAAACATCGTACATTGTTTAAGGAATTTTAACAGCTAAATAAGCAAGAAATGCTTCGAGAGCTCCAACTAAAACTCATTTCGCACCACAAATACTTGTTTATCAATCGTCCATCCTTCGCTCTCTTTATTTCTCCCTAAATATTTTTTGTAACACACCAGCTCCCATTTACCCCCCCATCACTCGTCTTAATATTTCCCTCCTGTTCCCCTCACCCTAACACACTTATTTTACATGTCCCTTAATATAATCTCATCCTAACATTTCTCCATATCCTCTAACTCTATAACTTCTCATCCCAACATTTCTCCATATCCTCTAACTCTATAACTTCTCATCCTAACATTTCTCCATATCCTCTAACTCTAGAACTTCTCATCCTAACATTTCTCCATATCCTCTAACTCTAGAACTTCTCATTTCTTCATTCTCATGGCTTCTAATGACAAATACATGAAATATCACAATCCCTTTGAATCACATGCCCTAGATATCCTTTGTTTACTAACCACTCCACACAAAAGATACAATTTTTAATTTACAGCTTATAAAATTTTTGTTTACGTAAATAATTGTTTTGTCCCCAAATCAGGACTTGGCGAAAAAAGTATCACGTTGAGACGGCCCCCGGGCGTAGGAAAGGCCTTCGCCAGTGGGATCACGGTCAAGCCGGGTCAAAACAGGACTGTGAGCAAGAAATCTGACCCGGCTTCCCCCCGAACAAGTGAATGTAACCCTCCAGTGAGGGCTAATGGCGCCACGGCCACTGCGACCATCACGTCAAGGGAGAGCTCCTACAAAGGTGAGTCTTAGATGGTGTGAAAATTGGGCAGAAGGCATATCGGAATGTTTACACGTTTAAAATATGTATCTACATTAACTAAAAGAAGATGAACTACTTGTAAACAAATACATTATTGAATGTTTAACAAAACAAAATTGTGTGTTGGGGGATTTGTGAATGTGGGGGAGGGGGGTGTTGATGACCTGCTCATCATATTATATCCAGCATTATATATAATACAACACAGCCACACGAAATGCTTGACTAAAACACACGACATGGTGTTTAACTTAACCACACGACATGGTGTTGAACTTAACCACACGACCTGGTGTTGAACTGAACCAGACGACATGGTGTTGAACTGAAACAGTTAATCTCTCTAAATTGTTAAAATTAAACACCCATCTCCCCAAATGTACACCAAAAGTCACGACATTGTAATGTACAGAACAATCTGATGTACAGGATAGTCTAAACCTTTTTTGAAAAAAATTAAAATGAGTCTCTATCCTCCAGACATAACTGATTTGCTATATTCTACTTTAAACAAATTGAAAATTTAAAAAAAATATATTTAACATTTTATTGTGCAATAAAAAAATGACCTGCGCACTCAACAGTTCTAACTCTCTAACCAAACAGGTCGTTTCGAGATTACTGTGAGCCTAGACGGTGACGTCATATTCTTGCCTGGTGACCAGCAAAACATCGGAGAAATCATCAGAGAGCTACCGAAAATAGAAAGAGATCCATTTTTTATTTTGGACGGAAAGGCCTGCTTGATTGTTACTGGAGAAGTTGAGCTTCGCTGGGATGAGCCAGACACCATCCAGTGGAGCAGCAGTCCATAGAAATAGATCAAACTAATAAAATTAGAAACTTGAATTTAATTGTTTTACATATTTTGCGTCAATTTTTTTAAAAAAAGGATCTAGCCAAATATACAATAATATGTCACACGAATCACCTTTTTTAAAACAGGGATATGCCAAATGAATGACCTTTATAAGATGGATATGTCAAATGAATGACCTTCTTTATAAGATGGATATATCAAAAGAATGAGCTTCTTTAAAATATGGATATGCCAAATGAACGACCTTTAAAAGATGGATATGTCAAATGAATGTCCTTCTTTAAAAGATGGATATGTCAAATGAATGACCTTCTTTAAAAGATGAATATGCCAAATGAACAACATTTAAAAGGTGGATATGTCAAATGAATGACCTTCTTTAAAAGATAAATATTTCACTTAATAGATTTTTGCTTTAAATCTATTTCACTTCGTATAGACGCATACGTTAATGTAGCAATGTTGCTAGTTGAACCGGCCAGAGGTCAACATTGGCTTTGGCAATTCTACGCCTTGTAAGGCCCTGGTGGATTATTTTAGAGATGTAACTATCCATGGTTGTAAAACTGTTCAGATTTAAGTGTTCCCAATTTCCAGGAAAATGACAATGGTGAAAACGATCTCTAGGAAAAAAACTTATTTTTTATTTTATTTTTTTAAATTAAAATAATAGAGTTTTGTTAGTTGACCTACTTGTATTTTTTACAGTTTCTCTGTAAGTTTGAAGAACTTGTGAATCTTAGTCCCAATGTCAAGGCTACCACCCCCCCCTTCTTTTCTCATTTTATTGATATGATTTGCTTCTATGTGTAATTTTGACCAAAAAATCATTTTTTTTAACAATCACTAATAATCATCAACCTCATTATGTTAGTAATGACAATATTTTTAAATAAGCTTGATTACTATTATTTTTATACACATATAAACATATAAGGATGATGATGTGTTGGCAAAGCAGTGCCATGAATGGAAATGACTGCACTTGCTTTTAAAATATAAGTATTCATATAATTATAAAATATAAGCATAAAAACATATGTATAAATTATGTACTGATTTAGCCGTCTAATCCAGTGTGAAATATACGAATGGTTTGTAGGAATATTTCTGAAAGTACACAGCTCGTGTTTGTGTTTGTGTTTGTTACGACACAAGATGGGTCTGCAACCATCCAGAATAAAATGCATTTTAATAAAGTATATTTTGTGGGTAATTTTAATTTAATCTTGTGTAAATAAAAGTATTTTCATTCAGAATAAGTGTGTGTGTGTATATACGTGTGTGTGTGTGTGTCTGTGTCGAAAAAAGCATTTATGAAAATTATTGTTTGTATATAAATATAAATATTTATATTTAATGTTTAAATAATTTTTCTCTCCTAATTACATAATTTAAATTTAGTATTATGTTAATTTCTTATTGTGGCTCAATGTTTGATTTTGTTGTTTTTTTTGTTTTTTTAATTTGGCTGTCTTTTTTGAGTGCTATTAAATTGAAGTCATTTGTCAAACATTTAAATATCTATTATCAACTTTTTTTAAACTTTTACATATTTTGAAGAACCAAAAAAATTAGACGTTGCTTTGTCTTTAATTTTAAGATTTGTAAACACTTTGCTCCCTTCGAGAATTAATAAAAAAAAAATCATTTGAAATTTTACATGAAATTTTGAGTTTTTATTGTTAATATTAGTGTAGAATACACGTGTTTCACATAACAAATTAAAGGTTTTGTCTTAACAACAGTTCACACAAACATGTGATCTCAATCTAGGAGCTCACTATTGGCACAATTTAACAAGCAAACCAAAAGGAGGTGCAGTACCGGAAATAAATGAAGTTAAATGGAGTTGCTAGAACTCTCCAACCCTCGCTGCTCAACCCATTACACACTAGAACTCTCCAACCCTCGCTGCTCAACCCATTACACACTAGAACTCTCCAATCCTCGCTTCTCAACCCATTACACACTAGAACTCTCCAACCCTCGCTGCTCAACCCATTACACACTAGAACTCTCCAACCCTCGCTGCTCAACCCATTACACACTAGAACTCTCCAACCCTCGCTGCTCAACCCATTACACACTAGAACTCTCCAACCCTCGCTGCTCAACCCATTACACACTAGAACTCTCCAACCCTCGCTGCTCAACCCATTACACACTAGAACTCTCCAACCCTCGCTGCTCAACCCATTACACACTAGAACTCTTCACAGAGACTGAAAGTATTTCAGAGTTCAGTTGCCATCATCTGTATTTCTCTGAGTGTTCAGTTGCAATCATCTTTATTTCTCTGAGTCTTCAGTTGCCATCATCTTTATTTCTCTGAGTCTTCAGTTGCCATCATCTTTATTTCTCTGAGTGTTCAGTTGCCATCATCTTTATTTTTCTGAGTGTTCAGTTGCCATCATCTTTATTTCTCTGAGTGTTCAGTTGCCATCATCTTTATTTCTCTGAGTGTTCAGTTGCCATCATCTTTATTTCGACCTGCAACGAGGATTTATCTCAACCTCTACTGTTTCATTTATCTGAGGCTAAAAATTTTTAATTTTCTGAAACTATGGCTGTTGATCTCTCAAATCAGCAAGGTTGGATTTTCCCTGATCCTATGAGGTTGAATTTCTTGAATCTTAAGGGGTCGGTGTCTCTGGTTCTGAAACAGTGGTTTTCTCTGGATCTGAACGGTTCGTATCCCTGAAGCCAAAGGGGTAGATTCTCTGAATATGTGCATCGAGCCTAGAGATTAAATTTCAAAATTTAATCTGCTCTAAATTATGCAAAAATTAAGACCGTTTGGGCAACTAGTAACAATATTTATAATCTTAAAAAAAATTAGTTATACTGACCAGACATCGAAGAACAAAAATTTATTAAATTTGGCGCCCAAATCTCTGAAAGTGTCCACTACCTGGAAATTCTGACTATTTCAAATTGTCCAATTTGTTTCGTTTTGACGTTAGTATCGTTTATTTTAAATGTTGGAATATATGTATCGATACCATACCAAAACTGGGAATTTACAATGATCACATTATAAAATTCCCAAATAAATGCAGGGGAGAGAAAGCGTTACATTTCGTGTCCAACGGGAAGACTGAGTGGCTTATATTTAGAATTACGTTAAAATAAATGATGCCATAATGTCCACATTTAGAACAGAAGTTCCGCAGAAATTGGGAAAATTTTTGGCCACGTAATACAGATAAATCATTTTTTTAAGAGTATAAAACATAAATATTTTCGGCAACTTTCAGAACAGACATTGGTGTTTACATCCAGACTCCAAGAAGTTTTCTTAATATTTGTAAATAATACGGTAAGCAACCTGTAATTTTTTAACATTTTATTTTATTTGTTGAAGGTGATTCGATTATGTTGTTGATTCATTTCACATACCACCCAGCTTGACAACCAAAGGTAATGAATAATAATATATCTCCTAAAGATATAATCGTGGCGATCATTAGCTTGTAAAATTTAGTTAGTGTTTGACCAAGTAGGTTAGGTTTGAGGCTTCTAAAAAAATGATGGTTCATTGGTAATAAAATAAAAGCAGTATCGAGAGTATGTAATGAAAAATCAAGACGATGACGTCAAGCTCCACAAATACCAACCTTAATATCTTTCATCCATTTTATCATATTGATTTTTGATAAATTATTTATACCGATAACATAAATTGTTTCCCCCTTCTTCCGAATTACCTTTACTAAATATCAAAAGGTTTATACCAATTTTCTTGTAAGTGTATTTTATTCCTATTTTGAATTGATGGAAAGATTATCTTAGTGCTTTAATGGCGTTAAAAACGAATACTTTAATTTTGTGTTAATTTTTGCCAATTTTTCAAATTTGATAACTTATTTTATTTTGGTTATTGTATAATTTTCAGATATACACAAATGGCAGAATATAATTTTTCCAAGATGTGTGAGGACTGGGCAGAGCAGCAATCACTTGACACTCCAGATTATAAAAGTTAGTTTAATCAGTTTGACTGGTTGTCTTAGCCGGTGAAAATTAAAATCTCAGTTATATGAATGATAACAATTTTAAGTTGTTTTTGTTTAAAACAAATTTTCTTACGAGTGTAATGTATAGAAATAAATTGCACCTATCACCATCTGGCAAGCAGCTATTGCAAGGGTGCAGCAATTTCCATTGACCAGACAGTGTGACCATAGATTTATTTAATAGTGGTTCTCAGCCGAAAGTTACCTTGTTCAGATAAAGAATTTGTCTCCTTGGAATAGAGCTACATTTTACCTATTGAGGATCCCTGAACGACCGTGACCCTTCCATTCTGACCTTTCAACATTACATGGAGAGACTGTTACAAATAGGATAAATCCAATTATTTCTTTAATGACGATTTTTTTCTGAAATTATTTAAACCTAAACTGTGTGTACATTTTCTTGATATCTTTCTCATTTCGACAGTCGAGGGCAGAGCAAACCTGAACAACTTGAAGTTATCCGTTGAAGACATCAGCTGGTCAGGCTTCAGACAGCTGGTCAACGAAGAGTCGCAAAAGGTCAGTCCATTTTTCATCGACTGCAGGCTCTTTCATTGGATTTAATACCTAGTCGTCACCATCCACAGCTTTATCAACTTTAAATCATCATCTAAACAGTAGATGTTTCATTTATCAGCTTTAGAAAAAAAAAAAAACACTGGAGGTTTCTAAACAAGTGTGACGTATAGATGGTCTTACAAAATATTCTAAATAATTATAGGTTATTGTGTTAGGGATTTATCGAAAATCCCTAGCAATGGCATCGGATTGTTTTTTAAATCAGCAAGACGCCGATAAGCTGAAATTCTGATGGCTTCAAAAATAGTTTGAAATGGCATAAATTTTAAATGTATGTTAACTAATCTTAGATATTATGCACCTAAATATAAATATAAAGCAAGTAATAGCTTATGATTTTTTTTTAAAATTAAATTTATTTCTGATGTCAAAACTAAAAGGCGATACTTAAAAACAGCACTTTGATTTATGGTATTCATTTAAATTTATTATTTCCTTATTTTTAGGATTTATTTCATAAAAATAGGGGGTATGTGGGGGGATGTGGGGGGATGTGGGGGATGTGGGGGATGTGGGGGATGTGCATAAAAATATCACGAAATTATACCAACACTATTGACATGTTCAAAAAAATGACATCAAATTTACATGGCACAATGCATGTTTAGCAAACGAAAAATAAAGAGCGATATGTCGTACTATATGACATTCAAGCTAGAGGTATTTTATTATTTTTTCTTCCACAAAGGTGAGCGTTCAATTTAACCCGATGCAGCCAAGTCTGTACAGTGGCCTACACGCGAGCAAGGAATCCGAAATGATCACAGAGGCCCACTTAACGAGAGGAGTCGTCAAAGGTAGGATGTCAGTCTGGTGTCAGTCTGATGTCAGTCTGGTGTCAATTTGATGTCAGTCTTTTGTCAATTTGATGTCAGTCTGGTGTCAGTCTGGTGTCAGTCTGGTGTCAATCTGATGTCAGTCTGGTGTCAATTTGATGTCAGTCTGGTGTCAATTTGATGTCAGTCTGGTGTCAGTGTGGTGTCAGTCTGATGACAGTCTGGTGTCAATTTGATGTCAGTCTGGCGTCAGTCTGGTGATATTCTGGTGTCAATCTGATGTCAGTCTGATGTCAGTCTGGTGTCAATTTGATTTCAATCTGGTGTCAATCTGATGTCAGTCGGGTGTCAATCTGATGTCAGTTTGGTGTCGGTCTGGTGTCATTCTGATGTCAGTCTGGTGACAGTCTGGTGACAGTCTGGTGACAGTCTGGTGACAGTCTGGTGACAGTCTGGTGACAGTCTGGTGTCAGTCTGGTGTCAGCCTGATTTCGTTCTGATGCCAGTCTGATGCCAGTCTGATGTTGGTCACATGTCAACAAAGACAGAGCAATTAGTTTAAATAAGATTAAAATAAAGTACATCACGTGAAGATGCCTAGCCTTCATGGAGGAAGGCCTGACGAAATACTTAAGGCACTTATTACAAGTGAATGGAACATCTAAGATGGGCCAATAAACAGATTAAGTTAACATTTCAAATGTACCATGAAATGGTTTTCGAAAGTCCATTTAAGACAATGTTCATTTTATGTCCATAAAAATAATATGCGTAGTTACAGTAGAATGAAGTTACAAGCAAAAGTTCTTGTTCTCATTATTAGTATAAGTCTGACTGAGTTTTTTTGTCAACCCACCAGGGTTGAACACCCCACTGCGACTTCCTGTTCGTGGTCAGAGTAACGAGATCCAGAAAATTCTGGGCGGATACGTGACCATTGACCCGGGCACTAAAGAGTCCAGGTCAAGCAACAAAATGACCGTGACCCTGGGCAGCTCCCACCAAGCTAACGCAAACCAGCCAACCCAGGCCAGGGTGTCATCTAAACAAACAGCTTATGAAAGTAAGTCGAGGTTATTCTTTTGAGTTAGGCATTAAAATGTGTTGTTTTAAAATTATGATTGATTTAAACTTCGTAAATAAAGATCATAAAGAGACGAGTTCATTGCATGTATGAAGGTGGCTATGAAGATCATTGGTGGGAAAGTCCATTGCATTGCTGAAGATAGCGTTGCATATCATTGGTAGGAGAGTCCATTGTACTTCCTGAAGGTGGCTATGACGATCATTGGTGGGAACCTCTATTGCATGCTTGTACGTGGCTTCGAGGGTCTGATTTCGGACTTCCAGAGTAACAAAGCTTTGATGTCAGACAAAGTCACCGACCTCTACATGTAACAAAATCGAGAGATACGGCACATATCCTACAATATAATATCTGCTAATATCTTGTTTCTTTATGACTATTTATATAATTATTTTGGAATTTTTTACAAGAACTTCTCTTTCGTCTCACAACAGTAGATTAACACACTGAGTAGTGTGGCTGTATTTTTACTTTATTGATGCGTAACGAAATTTAAAAATTTAAAGAAAGGTAATTACATTTACATTTTTGCTCATCCTTTAAAGGGGGGAGAAAAAGGGGGGGGGGGGGGGGGGGAAATTGTTTCCAAGTCCACATTTTAAAAAAATAATTTAACCTAACAATAACAAATGGGTTAATTTTTTTTTTTTTGATGCGTAACGAAATTTAAAAATTTAAAGAAAGGTAATTACATTTACATTTTTGCTCATCCTTTAAAGGGGGGAGAAAAAGGGGGGGGGGGGAGGGGTGAAATTGTTTCCAAGTCCACATTTTAAAAAAATAATTTAACCTCACAATAACAAATTGGTTCATTTTTTTTCTTGCAGTCCATTTCACAGCTAAAGTTTCATGCCTAGGAATTGTGACGTTCTCCCAGGATTCCACTGATGAGCAGGTGTTTGCTCAAATCATCGCAGACCTTCAAGAGAGGGGTCATGACCTCAGTCTGGTGGTTAATAGAAAGAATGGCTTTGCCGATTCCGTTTCCTTCCAAATGGCCGGCCGCTGTGTGTTTAGAGGGGAATTCGAACAGGAAATTAATTGGCAATATTGACACTAGATATTTATAGGCCAAAGAAGTTCAATAACATAGGAAAATGTTTTCCTTTTTTTTTAGTGGTTATTTGAAAATTCGCTTTACAATTTGTGAAATTCATAATGTAATAGGCAAATAATTTAAGTTTTAAAATTATCTTCAGTAAATAATACTTTTTTTTTAAATACCTTTTAAAAAGAAAATGAGTCATTCAAAAAAAATAAATAATAATAATTGAGAGCTGCTACGATGAAACAAATGCAAATGGCGATTAAGAGAATTTTATGAAAGATTGTGTTTGTCAGATTCTTGAACAAAAGACTTCGCTTGGATGTGGAAAATGATGAGTTGATCTATTTTCTAAATATAATTTTTTAGAATTTTTTGCGTTTTTTTACATTTATTACAATGCAATGTTATTTTGTTATGTTCTGCTTGTATGTTCACTTTCACCTGTAGGAATGTAGTCCATTATATTAAAATTATGTTCACTTTAACCTGTATGAATGTAGCCCATTATATTAAAATTATGTTCACTTTCAACTGTATGATTGTGGTCCATTACATTAAAATTATGTTCACTTTCATCTGTTTGAATGTAGTCCATTATATTAAAATTATGTTCACTTTCACCTGTATGATTGTGGTCCATTATATTTAAATTATGTTCACTTTCACCTGTATGAATTTAGTCCATTGCATTTAAATTATGATCATTTTCACTTGTTTGGATGTAGTTCCTTACATTTAAAGCATACGAATTTTGTACCTTGTGAGAAAAAGTTTAATAAATTGTTTGAAACTAAATGTTTACTTTGTTTTTTCTTAAATAATATGTTCACCCTAATTATATGCAACTGTTTTAAAAAATTCGCATTAAAATTTTTTTTAAAACCTGCATTATAAGATTATAACTACAATCCAATAATGCAACATCGTAGCCTCAGGCAGGTCTGACAATGTGTACTCACCAATTTCTACTACTGCTAGTAGCTTGTAGTGACAACATGGCGGCTGGTGAACTTCCTCTAATGAAAACGTCAGTTGGGTCTGAGGTTAATTATTATTATTATTATTTAAAATGTTTCTGTACAACAAGGGCATTTAAAATCAACTTATTTACAAATCTGTTATTATAAAAAAAAAAATTAATATTTTTGGCCAGAGATGAGTTTTTGTTGCCAACAATGATTATTCCCAAATATATAAAGGGGGCAAGATTTTGTTTTCTTATACAGTAAAAAGTAAGACTGCGGACATTAAATCAGAAAAAGCAAATTAAAGACAGAAACTTTTTCAAATATGTTATGCGTTTCTTTAATTTAATATTTTCTTAATTTTTACAAAAACTTTTTGATGTGTGCCGAAATGTTGAGGTGGCAACTATTAGATGATAATGATGGGACATGTCCACACCAAATAATGGGATGCTGACCATTACATAGATATGGTGGGGCATCTCTGCAGCACATTTTAAATGTATATTTAAAAAAACAACAAATAAAAAAAACTATCAAATATAATCATAAGGATATCTAAACTAATGTCCAATTCATATTATAAATTATTAGTTTGACATCAATGAAAGTGTTATCAAATTGTATAAAAAAATTAAATATAATTTCCTGTTCATTTTAAATTCAGTAACTTCGATGCAAATATCTATAATATATAATTTGAAGTCAATATACTTAATTGGTGTGACTTTGGAATATTTGAATAGCTGTTTTTGTTTGAAAATAATTAGATCACCGGCGTCTCATGGGCAAGTTTCTTTGTTGACACACACAATAATGCTAAAAACTCTTCACCTTAAACATGTTAACATCTTGTGTTGTATCCCAAGGTATATGTCCATTTATGTGGAGAGTCACCTATTATAGAAAATCTCCTTTGTATACTTAACATATTGTCAGACCAATAATTGTAATAGATAAACAAAGTTCTGAATAAATAATTTGAATAAATGAGATGCACAAATGATGTAAATAAATGACGTGAATAAATGATGTGAATAAATGATGTGAATATATGAAATGAATAAATGATGTGAATAAATGGTGTGAATACATTATGTGAATAAATGAGATGCATAAATGATGTAAATAAAAGACTGGAATAAATGATGTGAATAAATGACGTGAATAAATAATGTGAATAAATGACGTGAATAAATGGTGGGAGTGAATGGTGTGAACAAATAATGTGAATAAATGATGTCAATAAATGTTGTGAATAACTGATGTGAATAAATGATATCAATAAATGATATCAATAAATGATGTCAATAAATGATGTCAATAAATGATGTCAATAAATGACGTGTTTGTCAGACGATTGCACTTGATAACTTGACTCTCAACGATCCATTGTTGCCATGGCAACCCCTGGGCTTTGAGATTTATTGATTAAATCTGACCCCATTCTTTTAGTAACTTTTGGACTAGGCCGACTCTGACGTCACAGTTGGCTCTGTGATGACATTCTGGAGATTTAAAAAAATAAATAAATAAAATAAAGATTTGAGCTGCCAGCTGTGAAGTGTGGAATGTGTAAGACATCATACTTAACCAATGAGCTTTACCATGTAAAGAATGTCAAACTCACTTCTAGTCTCACTAATCAACCAATCAACAATTGCAAAGGTTTTCTTTACTGTGTCGTACCTTTATGTACATAAAAAAAATTAACAAGTTCCCTTTTTCAGCTTTAACAGTCCCAATTTTGTGTTTTAAATTTTACCAACCCGTCTGAGATTTCTCCTTCCTGCCCCTCTCCCTCCTCTATATGCTACTGCCCTTCTCCCTCCTCTATATACTACTGCCCCTTCTCTGTAACTCTATGGGTGTGGCTTTCGACTCTTATTCCCCACATCCCCATTATCTCTTTAAAACCGTACACATCATGAAATAGGTCAAGACCCATTGATTAGAAAGTGTGTAAGTGAAAGTTCAGGCCCTGGGTGCAACAGGTGACAAGCAGCTGGTTGACTTTTACACCGGTCACAAAATTTCATTATCCCACTAATAGCAAGTTTATACACACTGATAAATTTAATTATAGACTGGCCTTAATTTTCAAACCCTACCAACATCATTAAGAAATCTTTTTCTTTTGTTATGTCAAGCATACATTTTAAAATCAAGTAAAATTTTACACTTTTCGAGACGTAGTATAAATGTTGTTAGTAAACTGATTTACCCAGTGACAATTAAATTTTACATGAATTCCCATCGGACTAGAAGATAGCCTGGTTTTTTCGTGTAGCTATTTCGAAACATCTGGACGTAATCGGTATCGTTGGTAATCGTGTTGGATTAAAAAAAAGAGCGACGATACTGAAAACCCTGTAGAAGATGTCTTTGGGGAAAATCACAAATGCCGAAATTAGGTCGCGGACGCATGACGTGGAGATCTTTATAAATACTCATTTCAGTATCGACTTTTTAAAGTTTGTATTCGATTTTTATAAAGACTCAATGTTAAAAACACAACTATCTTATAAAACATCTATGACATCTAGAAATAATCGAATACACTAATGCTTGTTGTTAATTTTTATACTTTATTTTCTAGTTTTTTTTGGGTTTTTTTAAATTCAATGATATTATTATAAAAGGTTATTTTATGGTTTAAGATTAATTTTAAAAAAAATGAAAATGCAACATCCAAAGGAAAATTATGACACTATTTATTTCAACTTTGAACAGTTGCGTGAATAATCGGGAAACCGTGCATTTTATTTCTGGTCCAAAAAAACCTCCGCAGTAAATGCGTCTTCCCGCCAGCCACGTCACAGGTCAAGGTGGACAAGGTATATAACATTGCAGAACCTCAGGTCTGTTGGAACTAAGAAATTCTTTTCATTTATTCAATTTTGAACATGTTTCACAAGTTTAACATTCGCAGCAATATTTTTTTTAAAATATAAAATTATGTTTATCATGAAATGATGAGCTGCCTCGGTGCTTGCAAGTTGAAGACCTGCTTAGCTAGATCTTCCTGCATTGCTACCGGCTACCGAAAATTCATTTTTTTAATGAAATATTTATAGCGTAATTCACTTGAAATGTTCAAGTTTGAAAGAAAAGAAACTTTGCGCGGGGCTAGAAGTCAAACTTCTTCTAAATGAATCCATTAAATATTGTCAGTACGCTACTCCTGTTTGTGTTCTTATATCAATTGCTGGCTTGCACGCCTTGACGGCAGGAATTTGATCCAATGTGAATCGTTGGCACGAGAAGGTTGGCTGGAGAAATCAAGAAACTCTCCTTTTTTTAAATAATATTTCCGTTTGGTTTTTTTGGACAGTGAGATTAATTATTATTTTTTTTTAATTATTATTTTTTATTATGTTGATTTTTTTTTTATATATTGAAAGAACATTTTGTAGTTTCATGAAAATTTAATTTATGGGGAAAAAAAAAATATATCGCTTTAGCCATCGTCCGTTAAAATTCTTGGCATTTCTGTTTCAAATGAAGAGGTCTGGATAGAGGTGGATGTGTGGATAGGACTCTTGGATGGAGATGACGTTTCGATAGATGAGGACTGTGAATAGAGAAGGAAGATTGGGTAGAGGAGGGTGTGTGGATAGAGGGCGCATGATTGTGTTAGAGGAGCTACTGTAGGAAACCCCTCTTTCTGAGCCATGCCATGTCTAACAGTAGCATTCACACAGACTGGCCTCGGCGGAGGAATTGGGATCCTTTTGATTCACTCTGACTCTGAATTGGGATCCTTTTGATTCACTCTGACTGGCATTGGCCACGAGATGATGGGTAAAGTTCTAGCCGGACAAGTCGCTGGACATCTAGACCGGAAATTTACGATGGTCCGTTTTCCAAATGTTTAGGTTTCAACAACAGAGATATATATAAAAATGTTCAGTTTATGAACCAAGTTACATCATCTATTTCTGATGCGTTATGACACTCGTAAGTCTGTGTGTACTATGTTATGGGTACTGTGCAATTTTCCGCGCCATGAATCGAAGCGAACTCTACGGATAACTTGGGAATCAAAGAGTTAATAGGTTTGTAATAGTGTTATACAGGTCGGTTTAGTTTTAATGAATGCTGAAATTAATTAACCCTTTGTGCGGTTCTGGTCTTCATCTAAATGATTTTTTTTTACATCATGAAAATGATGGGAATGTTTGAAAATAATATGATGGGATTGTAGGAAAATAATATCATGGGAATGTATGAAAATAACGTGATGGAATTGTAGGCAAATAATATGATAAGAATAGTAGGGAAATAATAGGATTGGATAAAAGGAAAATAAAATAAATCATTTAAATGAGAATACACAGTTGAAGTACTAAATGGGTAACTATAATCTTTTTAAATGGGTAACTATAATCTTTTTAAATGGGTAACTATAATCTTTTTAAATGGGTAACTATAATCTTTTTAAATGGGTAACTATAATCTTTTTAAATGGGTAACTATAATCTTTTTAAATGGGTAGCTAGAATATTTTAAGTTCCTTGGTTTGGACTTAACATTGGTATTTATTTATAGGTTTCGACCACCTTGGGTGTTGTGTGGTCTGGGCACGTCGGGATCCACGCTCCTGTCTGTGGCGTTGCCTGCCAACAATGTCGAAATTCACTGTGTCCTGAAAATAGCCTTCCACCTAAATCTCAACACTGAGATAGGCTATGGGGAGATAGGTTTACAGTATTGATGTTGTGGCAGGTCTGGTTTCATTGTGTTACAAGCACATGCACGTTATATTTCACCGCCTCAGCCCGTGTAACCATTGCATTCATTATTTTGAATTTTCTTTACGTTATTATGACATCATCTATCAGAGTGATTCATGTCCACTCTCTTAAACGAAGACTGTGTGACGGTGCCATAACCATGTTGAGGACCACTGTCTCTAAATGCACACCCCCCCCCCACACTGTTATAAATGTTTACAAATTCGACCATTGCCTCTACTCTTTCAAGTATCCGCCACTGGAACAACATGACATTTTAAAAATCTTAAATAGTTGCAGATATTAAGTAAAATGAGATTTGAGAAAAGATTTCATTTCAAAACCGAAGAACCAACGATAAAGACATTTTTTTTTAAAACCTGGGCCTAATAATTTCGTGACAGTTGCGTGAAGGCTAAAAATAAAACCAACTAATAACTCAATGGCACTCTATATTGTCTCTAGCAATCAATAGTTAAGAAAGACACGTCAGATTTAACAGACACGTCAATGCAGAAGACAATTTTCTGGTCCTCCAGAAATAGCCCGCTGAAAGCCGTCACGGTTTTTACGATTATATACAATGGCGAAAGTAGGTCACCGCGACACGTAATGGCGGTCACACGTCACAGCGCTCGGGTATGAGGATTTCCCTCGTTAGGTGGCGCTGCGAGCGGGGATTCCCTTGACTTACAACGTCCATTGCGTGTTCTTACTTTCATAAAAGTTTGATCAAAATGTTCATGTTAGTTTTAGGATTACGTGTTCCAAACGGAAAAAAATGACATTAAACTTGTGGGGAAATTGCCACGTCATAAATTCGTTTGACTGAAGTGGGGGGGGAAAAAAAAAGGGGGGGGGGGGAAAGAATTTTCAGGAAGGTTTTTTTTTTTTTTTTAAGAGCCACGTCATGGCTTTAAAACAAAATTAGTTTTTTTTCTTAAAAATCCGAATGTTAGTAGGACTTAATGTCGAACCTCATAGTTTCATACAGTCCAACACGTCATGTATGGGAATGTTGGCATTTAGACAAGTACTTTACGTGTCTTCCTGACGTGTATTTTATGACGTGTCTTAATGACGTGTCTCAATAACGTGGATGTTATTTTTTTTAAAAAAACACGAGTAACAAAAGATCGCAAGATCAAAAGATCACGAAATAAGGAATGTGTGGGTAGTGGGTAGGGGAGGGGGGGATTAAAAGAATTATTTTTCATTTTATGGCATTTATGGTTTTACTCAATATTTTTGTAATCAAAATTCCAGTACCTTCTAATCAATATATAATTCGTATTTTTATGTGTAATGCCTTACCAGAAATCTATTTATTACCTAAAAGCAGGCCTAAAAACCTCAAAAAGTAAGGCGGGCCGTAAAGCTTTGTACAAAACTTGTGCGGGCCGAAAGAAATTAGGACGGGAGAGGGGGGAAAAGCTATAAAGAAAGTAATAATAATAATGTATATTTCGTTACTCCGCGGGCCGCGTAGTGATTACTGGCGGGCCGCATACGACCCGCGGGCCCCTTGTTGTGCACGCCTTATCTAAAGCAATGTTTTTCTTGTTGTTTTCAATATTTAATCTCACCATTTAAAATGTTACGCAATTCCGATGGTATAATAATCGCTTTCAAAACTGTATATTTTGTGTTCAAAGGGTACCGGTACATTTCACGAATCATTTATGGGACGATAAGTTAATTTCATTTTCTTTTTTTTTTAAATTTGTTTTTGTTGTTTTTTTTTAACTCAGAATTTTTACATTTTTTTCTTAAAAGAAAACATTTAACATATAATTCATACGTGAATTATGGGTCAGTCAGTTATGTGAACCGCTATTAAACGTTTCAGTGTTGTGCCTGCACCTATGCAGCGTGTTTGGGAACCCCTGACTGTAAATCTGTGTGCTAGCGTCGGAGAGTACGCACAGAGAGACACAAAAAACATTTAGAAAGAAACATCTTCAACGCCAACGCTAATAACACAGACAAGCTCCCTTTTAGCACATAGCAATGCATTTTGTAGCAATGAAATGTCAAGTCTACACATACATACATAGATATATATAAATATATGATGATTTATTGGTTTGGTCCCATTGAGAGATGAAATAGGCGTCTGTAATGTTCACCCGTTGACCCCAATACATGAAAAAAAAATACTGTCGTGCACCAGTCCCCAGCATCGCGTTGTGTTAAGTACGACGCCTGGATCGATAGAATCTCCCGTCGGCCACCTAATGCTGTGACGTGTTCACGAAACTACTGGGAATGTGCGCCTGCTTGACGTGGCGCGTATTTTGGTAGAATGCGCTCAATTTGATTATCTAATGGGGGGAATTTCTTTTAACTGAAAAAAAAATCTTACATTTATTATGAAGAACACGTCAATTTCTCGTATGCCTTAATTCATGTCCACCTAATGTCACAAGGTATATAAGGCCTAAATTTAAACGAATATTTTACTAATCTCTAGAATATCTTCACTTAAACTTTCCAAAATTATCCTATCTTTGCATAAGTTAAAGCAAATTTGATACAGTTTAAGTATCTATAAGGTAAATATTTTTCTTATCTTGAAAAAAAATGATCAATGATGTAGAATTGAAATGGTTGATTGAAGGAATTTTTAACTCTATCACTAACTTAGCTGATGTAATCAGAAAAAAAAAAAAAATTGAATTCTAACTCTCTTTATTAAACAGATGAACAGTTTAAAATAAGATAAGAAAATATTTTTTTATTCATCCAAACAAATGAAAATGTTGTTTTTTTTCATTTTGCATATACATTTTCAGCACCCAAATAAATAATCGTTTAATAAAGTACTTATTTTTCAACTAAAACAATGTAAACACAAGGCATCTATAACGGTCGAATTTTTGTAAAAGATCTTGAATTTTAACCTAGTATCTGTCCTCTTTAAATCTGTCATCTTTTTATCTGACATTTTGATACATTTCAACTTTAAATATGTCATCTTTATATATATGTCATCATTACATGTCATCTTTATATATGTCATCATTATTTTTTTTTAAAAATTACTCGATTAGCGTATAAAGTTTCACTATATAAAGAACACAATCTTTTTATCAAATTTTTATCGAGTTTAAACTTTATTGTATATGGCAACAAATTAGATGTGTAACTGTAAGCGTTAAATATATATTCAATAATCATGTGTAAGCGTTTCATATAAATTCAATGCAAGCAAAACATATTTATTTGTGTGAGCAAAATAATTCACCCACCTTTTGATTTAACTTAAAAAATTTGTAAAATTGTTATATATCTTTTATGTGTTCTTATTGTTGTTTTTTTTTTTTTGTATATAATTTCTTAATTTATACATATATTTTACAGACACAATCAAAGCCATGGCAGCACCAGTCAAGAATTTCATAGACTTGCAGCAAATTGTAAAAGAGTGGAAGAATCTCGAAGGCGTGAAAGGTAAAAACAATATGGCTTAATAAGATTATAAACATAAATTCCAGTTTTGTGCAAACTAACTGTATATTTTTTTTTAATTTATGAAAACATAAGGATGAGTTCCACACACAATACATTTTTCTTTTTGATATTCCACCATTTATTGCCAGCATTTTCTATTCCGTCAATCAATGACTTGTGTCTAATAATTTCATTTGACTTTTCATTCAGGCGACTACCACTTGAAGAATCTGAAACTGGAAGTCACCAATATCGAGTGGACAAACGTCACATGTCTGTCTGATCCCCAGCATGCAAAAACGTCACAGGTACTCGCTAACACATCAGCTTAGAAGGCAAATTGCTGTAAATACTTTTTTTTAAAAAAGCTATTGAAATTATTGGATATGGTTTGAGATTATGTCCGAAACAAAATCACTCACTATAGGAGGAACTTCCGTTATCTTATATCAAAATTCGTGTTTTTGTATTTTATTTAAAGGAGATCCCGACTGGGTTTTTTTTTTTGTACATGTATTTTACGTCATCAACCGCTGCTCTATTTCCTTTGTTTCTGTTTTTAAGGCGTCTGCTGAGTACGTCACACAACAAAATCAGCGCTGCGCCAACATCAAGGTCAAAGTTAAATCTAAAAAAGGCACCCACGTGACCATTAACACAGGTGTTGTGTCAGGTAAACATTTTGTTGTTGTTGTTTGTTACGCACTGCTGTCTATGGTGAGAAATTAATCTCTTATTTTAAGTTACGGCTCGTTCTAAACAGTGCACAACAAAGGACGATACCATATAGGAAATACAATAACGAAAATACGACACTCAAAACAGTACCAATTCAATTTATAAGATTTATTTAATTATTAATATAATTACATAACAAAAGAAACATAATTACAATCATCAACTTACAGAGTATGTGATGTCTTGCACCGGTGCACAGTTAATACAATGGGCCAATTAATAAGGCACAATGATTAAAGCGAATAAACACACATAAGTAAACAGAATAACACACGCTTGTCTCGTGAAGACAAAAAATATCCCTCCTTCTCAATATTGCTCTCTTTGCTTTTATAGTCGGCTCTACTGCAAATTCTAGGCATATTCCGGATTGTATTAGCAACTAGAACATTCCACAATTGACTATAATTTCCTTAAGCCTTTTGGGTCAACCAAAACAGGCGATAGCTTAATTTGTGGTAAACAAGATCAAAGGAAATAAGCCACACCCTATACGAACGCAGCGTCTGCTAGTGATCTCAGCACAGGGGGAAATATGACGTAAACATGCCCTACATAGCATCGTTGTTGTTGTTGTTGTTAAGTAGTAAAGCGAAACGAAATAAAATGACTCAATAAAGAAATAGATTTTTAATAAACTTGATATCACGAACTCGGCCTTTAGAAAAGTGGAACACAAATTCTAGGGACTTGAGCTACATTCTAGCTTTAAAATATGTATTTTTGCTGTGCCCTATTCGATAAGTTGCCCTTTTCATGTGTACTCACACTTCATTTTTCTGGCTTATCCCACTTTAAATCAACCTCAATCTTCCTTTTTTGTATTACATTCATGCGCCCATGTCATACAAATATCAGACAATTATACATATATCGTTGACATGTATTGCAGATCTGCACCAAAATTTTAAACTGCCCTTGGCTGGACTTCCCCAAAACATCATCGACGCCACTGGACCCTCCCTTGAGATTGACGTCGGCGTTTCTGAGACTGACAGAAATGCCCAGACGCTGAAGTACTTTACCGACTTCCCCCACACCATCGACCAGACGGACAGCAACGCGCCAACCGTGGCGCGAGCAGAGGTTGCATCGAGGACTGGAGATTATGTTGGTGAGTTATAATGAATCATTAAATCTCAGTTCAGCCGGTTCTTAACCTGTCATCCGCGGAACCCTTTTCACTTCGTTCAGGGGATCTGTGGTTGCTCTAGGAAACCCCTAAACACCATTATCTTGTAAGAGATAGAGTTTGGTCTGAAAGGGGCTCCCCCATGGAAATTGATTCTTAACATTCTTAAAAAAAGATCCGTGAAACAAAATGTTGGTTACCTGTGGGTCTAGTTAATTCGTTGTTGCCTAGTTCATTCCTCGATATTTATGCCATTATTGTTCATACACAACTTGTTAACTTGTTTATTTATAACACACGTCTGTCCAAAACTGTTAATAACTGAGTATTGTTATCAACAGCTCAGTTCACTGGGACTGCTCAGCTTGAAGGAGAAGTTATCTGCAGCGACGGCCGCTCGGTGGAGCAGGCTCCCATTGGTGAGGTGGTCACGTGCCTCAAGTCCAAGTCAAAACACGTGGACAAGCTGTGTGTGACCGGACAAGGCCTGCACGTGGAGTGGAAAATTGGAGGGGAATGTCATTTCTTTCTGGGGACCGATGTCACTGTGAGCTGGAAGTAGCTGTGAGTGGGAGAATCTGAGAAGGCTCTGGTGTAAGAGCGAGATGTCACTCAGAATGTCACTCAGAATGTCACTCAGAATGCCACTCAGAATGCCACTCAGAATGTCACTCAGAATGCCACTCAGAATGTCCCTCAGAATGTCACCCAGAATGCCACTCAGAATGTCACTCAGAATGCCACTCAGAATGTCACTCAGAATGCCACTCAGAATGTCACTCAGAATGTCACTCAGAATGTCCCTCAGAATGTCACCCAGAATGCCACTCAGAATGTCACTCAGAATGCCACTCAGAATGTCACTCAGAATGCCACTCAGAATGCCACTCAGAATTGCCACTCAGAATGCCATCTAGGGACATATCAAATACAGCACAAAATGTATAGATATTTTTTTAACTTTTATTTCTTCTGCATTAAATAAAAATCAATAACATTGAACAGTTATAATAAAAATAAAGATTTGAGTTTAGAAAGGGTAACTAGTTTAGACATTCACTGTAGCATTCATACTCATTTTGTTTTAGCCTCAGAGTTATTTTTTCTGTCTTGTTTTTAAATAAATGATGACCCACATTCTTTATACTCATAGTTCGTGTATTCCTAAACTTCTTGTGCATTTACTACTCTCCAAACCAAACACTTTTTAATTCATTATAAAGCTTGAGCCATACATTTTTAAAATAATTTTTTGATAACTTAGAAATAGAAACTTCTTTAATTACTGCTAATATTTAAAAAAAAAACAATCCATTTAAGTATTGTAATTTTTAATTATTTTTTTTAAGGAAAAAAATAACAGAAAAAAATTGGGATAAATTAAATGGTTCGAAAAGTTTTGTTTATTTTCACAGTTTTTATTATATACACTTAACAATACTCGTAAACCAAAGGAAATGAAATCTCTCTTTTTTTTTTTTTGCAATGAAATGCATCACGTGATATGCTTCATATGTCAGTTAAAATACTCAATATTCACATATTGAATTAAGCCAAATATTTTCCAATGGTTTGATTTAATATAACATCGATTAACACAAGGTGAAAAAAAAATAGATTTAAAAATGTTTTTTTTTTTTTTTTAAATGATCGACCTTAAATATTCTTTGTGTTATTAAATTTCTTTTTAAATTATGATTTTTGAATCGCCGGTGTACCGGTACTTAAAATAAAAATGTTAAAAAATTAATTTTTGTTTTGTTTTCTGGAAAGAACTTTGTAAAATTTAATATTTTTATGTCTCGGCTATTATTAGTCACAAATAATCGCGCAAGGACAGAAAACTCTTTGACAAATGAATACAGTTTTTGGTGTGTTAGGAGTACAGATACAAAAATTTCACACAAAAAACTTCTTCTGTTAGTTGTTGTTGTTATTTTTATTACGTCATAAGCAAAGGCATTTATAAATACATTCCTTTATAATGTATTAGTTTCGTATTATTTAGATCTCATTTTTAAATTGAAAAAAAACAATAAACTACGAACACGAATTTTTGTCTCTTATGTCTATTAATAAATAATTTTATTTTTTAAACTCTAAGGTGTTTGTCATGTTTATTGTATTCCAAATGAACAGAAATCGATGACGTCAATAATGTATGACCTTTTTTTATTTTGTTCATATAAAACATTTAATATTATTCGTGACACACCATAAAACAATTTTAGGCGACTCAATATGTGATCGTGCTCCTGAAGGTATTACTTCAGCAACAATATGGTTTTGGCTCGCCATTACATTTCACAGGCGCACACACTTTCGAAAGAGTATTTTAATTCTCAAGCACTTAGAGAAAAAAAAAATGTGTCAGAACTGCCGTTTCAAGAGAATTTAGAACGGTTAACAAAAGTGCAGTCGTGTGTACTCTTTAATTCCACATTTTTAAAATATTAATTAAAACAGAAATAATTCCCATTCACAGTCTGAGATTTTATCATTAAATACTAATTAAACATATTGAGTTTAAAAACAGTGCAGTCGTGTGTAAAGATTAAATACTAACTTTTCTTCTTAACACATACTTTACATTTGCACTTTAAAAAACACTATTGTTTATAATGTGGGTGAAAGTGTATTTAGCTGTTTAAAGTCACTCATTTAGCAACGGTGTTCACACCATCAAGTACTGCATTACCTATAGGAATAGAACTGAGAAATTGAATGACATACATTTTAACTCCAGCCCTGCTTGCCAAGTTACGTTAAGTAGTCTTTTACAAATTAAGATCATGTTTCCACATGATTTGTGTTTTTTCTTAAGCTTATTTCATTTCCTGCTTTGACTAGTAAAGAATAGGAAATACTTTTAAATGAAGCCATGGCTTAGAGAGTGCTACCTCACTACTGTGTAGTTGAACATGAACCTTGGTTTTGAGAGTCCTACCCTCAAAGGAAGTAAACTTAACCAGAACTGAAATTTGGTTAGGGAGACACATATTTTTTTTTGGCAAAGAAACTATTGACATCTGTTCATTAAATAATTATGATATTTTAGTATACAATGATCAGTTGTTAATCGGAATGATTTTAAAAAAAATAAATAATGCGAAAAATAGTTAGATGTTATATACATATATATATATATATATATCCATCAGTTTATTCGTATATCACATAATTTTAATTTAATTATTGATTTAACTTTTGGTGTGGCTAAGTTAAAATTTAATCAACAATGTTGAGTGTGCCAAGCTCATTCTGGCGAAGTGGTTTCAATTATATCATTAAAATGATTTCAGAAGGTGCCAACTTTATGCCCACAACATGCCCAAAATATTTACACGATATGCCCACTACATATGTCCACCACATGCCCACTATAATCCCACCTAATGTCCACAATATGCCAACAATATGCTCATCATGTGCTCACTATGTGCTCCTTATATGCCCATCATATGTTTACTACTTAAGCCCACCACATGCCCACTATTTTCCCACTATATGCCCACTAGTTACCAACTATGTGCCCACTGTTTACCCTTTATATGTCAACCATATGCCCACCATGTGCCCATTATATTCCCACTATATGGCCATTATATTCCTACCATATGCCAACTATATTCCCAAAATATGCTGACCATATGCCCATTATATGCCAACTACAAGCCGACTACATGCCCACTATGTGCCCACTATATGCCCAAAATATGCCCACTTTCCGTTGAAAAATATCCCAAGCAGATCATTTGACCACGCATCATCTCAAGGTTTTCAAACACCTTCAAAATATTTAATTCATAAAAAATGTAGAATTTTAAACTAATTATTCTTTTTTAAAATTCCATCATTGCACAAAAGAACTAGAGCTTAAATATGGTCCATACTACCGCATACAGAGGAGACCATCATGCATATTTGTAAAGAACAAATACTTCAAAGTATACGGCTTGAAAGAAAAGTAAATGTACCAGTTGGCCGACCTAGCGAAAGTAGGTCATGGGATTACGTCACACGGCGCAGTCGGGTGTTTCAAGCGCGGCTGTGGGGGTGGGGGACGGGGGTAGGGTAATTTTTTCAGATAGGTAATGACTTGTCTCCTGGATTTTCCCCAAACCATAACGTGTTGGTCTTCCTTTTGAAAGAAAATGTAATGTCAGACGGGGAGAAAAGGAAGAAAGCAAGTATCAACATACATTTCAAACACGTGATTGAGTAGATTAAACTATTTCATTTTTAAGGTGGGGGGGGGGGGGGGGGTTGAGGATTTGGAAGGGGGGGGGGGGGTTGAGGTGGCCACGTA